GAGTGTGAGTGAGTTTGAGAGAGAGTGAGAGAGAGTGAGTTTGAAAATGTAGATTCTCAGGAGGCAACAGTACTGTTAACTTCTCTCTCCACTAGACACCAACTATTTCCAACTTTGGCAATTCAACATCTGTTCATTGTCATATGCTATGTCAACTCTGATTAGCTGTATGCTTTACATGCATTCCAATAACTATAACTATTAGAGTTGATTTGCAGAAAAAGCAGCGCCTGCAACATGATAGTTATTCCTAGGTTGTTTTTTTACTTTTCAAATAATACAATAGTCACATAATGAATATAATAACGCAGTTCATATTTGTCTCAGTAAATCATTAATTTTTGACAGACACCTGTACAAAATACTTGGGCGAAAGCCAGCTAAGATTTTCTGTTATCTTGCATGTTTTACGAAATTATTTACGTCTAAATGCAGCGTTTTTTCTGAGATGGGGCATTTGTTTTTATACTAAATTTTCTAAATTACTTTGAATAAAGCTGGAAATTATGTCCCTTAAAATAAATAAACAAATTGGGCACCAATGTTTTTGTAAGATATTTACATTTGGTAGACTGCTTTCCCACTGCTGTTTCAATTCTAAAACTTGTTTTAATTCAAAATTAATTATGACAATGCATATTCATATTGAAACAAACTATGATAAAGGAAATAATATTATACAACAAAGGGCAAGGTAACCAGAGTTCAACTATGTTGTTGCAATGCAACCACTTCCTCTCACCCACCCATAACTGTATCTGATGACAAATCCCTGGTAAGTACGTGGTCTGTTACAGCATTAGAGGTATCTCATAACCATTCTTCAAAACCAGACTTTCCTACTGTGGCATAGTCTCTTAGAAACTGGTATTCCCAAATCTAGAAATTTGAAAATTTATTTATTTATTATAAAGCTTACAAACCTGTTTTCCAGAGAACAAGCACCGGAAAATCGTTTATTGTTGTCGTTTTGGGCATTGCCTGGAAGAGACCTAAATAACCAACATTTGCAATTCTCTGGGAAATTCTGGCTCTCCCAAATCCAGCTATTTCTTGTGAAGAGATGTCAATTGAAATGTACAAACTGTGATCAGTGCTGTAGTAGACATTGCAGACAAATACATCAATCGACATCATTACTAGTATTAGATGAGTGATCCGCAGTTCACGATTTGTTGTAATTGTAACTGGAAATATTCTGATTGGTATTTTGAAATCATCCATCAGTATACATCAATATTGAGATTTTAACGTCACTTTTTTGTTTTTAAAATGTATAAATAACCTTTCAGTGACCCGTGTAAGTATCGGAAGTATCATGAGAAATTTTATTCCGACCAATATACCCTTGAAGTCGAAGGCCTCTCTAAAGATTAAAGTTAGTCATGCAAATATCAAAATTCACAATGCAATGAAATATATGGAAATTATATTTTGATTTGGTGATTTGATACCACGCCTTTCTGTCAAGTGCGAGCTAGCCTCAGTGCTCCAGCATTTTTGCCAGACCATCTCAATCCGCGCTCTTTTGAATATATATACATACATATATACATTTTGTTTGCGAGTCTGGTGGCGTAATTTTCATCTAGAACACGACACTTCCAGACGTTAAAGTTCAAGTACGTAGTCCATTGCAAAATCTAGCACCACATCTCTGTTTTTTTATTTCATATTTGTGTTCGTCATCCACGGTGTCTCTCTAACAAATCATACTTCTGTTCATTTGTGGTAGATGGAATTTAAATCCACAATGGCCATCATGGCTGATTTAGTGCTAATCAAATATGAGTGGACGAGGAGAGGGGAAAATGAACACACAGGTTGGTATTCTCTCAATGGTGTAAGGATGATGTTCTGTTAAGATCCACGTGTTCACAGGTGCCATAAGACAGGGCTTTTTGACGCAACAGTCACCCGGTGAACACATCCTCATCATGATGTATGTTTATTTCACAGCTATATGGTTGACTATGGTTTACTCTGAGATAATGCCACGTAGAATAAGTTTCCTGTGACACATGCATGGCGAAAGGGTTTATTTTTAGTGTGATTATTTAGGCAGAGTGTTTGCTATTTGGGGGGGGGGCTGATTTTAAGAAATAGTTTGAAATAC